GGCACATTGGTTAGGTGTTTTACTACGTACACACACACACACACACACACACACACACACACACACACACACACACACATACAGGCATGCACTCACACGCATTTGCACGCACATATGCACACCCATAAACACACACACTCTTCCCTCACCCATCCTCTCTTCCCCACACATCACTGCACATAACCATAATAATATAATAGTATGTTTGCACTCACAAACAGTCTTACAGCCACAAGCATAATTCAAATGAAAAATAATATAAACAAAAATAGCGTTAAGCTAGGTACGTACTCGGTATTCTGGTTATAACTCAGTGGTATTCTGATGCATGCTCTAAGGTTCTATGAATGGTTATTTTGCTGTTTGAGTCCATGTGTTTGTTCTCATTGTTCCTTTTGAGTATTGGGACCCAAAAAAAGCGTGTCAGTGTAGCCTACAGCTATAAGTTTCTTTTTTAATTTGTTTTTCATCAGATTTTAGGGGATGGTTGAGGGTTCAAAATCTAAGATATTATATGAGTTTTTTAGTTCAACCCATAAATACTATAAGATATTAGAGTGTTTGTTTTCAGTTACAGGCGACTGAGTCGGGCCATCGGCCCAATCCAGCCGTAGTGGGCACCTCGTATTTCGTGGCACAAGCCGATTGCGCCCGACTCGTCGCCTCCAAAACAAACGCGTTTGTTTTCAGGCGACAAGTCGGGTGATTGACCCTACCCGACCAGACCCAACCGATTCCATCCTCAATGGGCACCCGGTATTAATTCCAGAAGCATGCTATTCCTCAGCACTTTCCCTCTCCTTTAAAACCTCTTCACTACTGTGTCGACATAACACAATGTACTCGCTTGTGTAAGACAAAACTGGTTCTCTGCCGTTTTTTTGTTTTTTTATTGGCATGCAGAGGAACTTTTATGAAATGTAAAATAGCATGTCGTCGGTGTCACAAACAATCCACTTAAGTCTGCTTTGGACACTTTTTGCACCAAAGACAAATAAATAGTTTTTCGTTGCGTTGTTCCAACCAGGAATCGAGAAAGGCAATTAAGTTATAGATTTCTAAGCTTTCACCATAACTTTAAAGTGCAACTGCATTTTGGTGATGTTGAAAGGTGTAAAAATCGAAAATTCTCAAAATTTGGACTTAAGTGGATAGTTTGTGATAGCAACAATGTGCAGTGATTACCAAAAAGTAGGGAAGATACTACAGCTTTTTAAATCTCTTGATATTACATACTACCTGTATTCATCTATTCTGTACAAACGCAGCTATACACGTCTTGGCAATGAAGGGGTTTTAAGAATCGACATTGAAGATAACTGCCCTCTTTTGTCGCCCTTTCTTGAAGAGAAATAAAAGGAACCATATGAAAATAAAAATAAAGTTAAGGAAGTGACCACTTGCAGTAGTCCAGTTCTATAAATGTCACACGTCTTTATCCCCCTCCCCCCCCCCCAAAAAAAAACAAAAAAAACACGCACACAATGTACGTTTCGCCCTTCGCTTTGTTGAATCCCCTCCCCCTTCCACTGTATTGTCCGCCAGTTTGACATTTCCTGGTAATGCGTTTTCTCAGCCGCACTACCAAGCCATTGGTATGAGTAATGTGTTAATGGACCTTGGTCACCCTCTACTCACCCTCTTGTAATGCCCAGTCGGCGCCCCGTCGGATGGCAAGACTAGCCTGGCTCTTGAGTCCATTACACCAAGTGGAGTCTCTCGTGGCCTAGAGGTTAAGTTGTTCGCCTCTCATTCAACAGGTCCCAGGTTCAAATCCGGATAGCGAAGGAAAAACATTTTCTCTCCTAAATTTCTTCCCTTCTTATCCTTTCCTGCTCTCAAACAATGCTCTGTCGTATCCTTTCGTCTCCACTTTCTGCCCCAACCCGTTTACCTCCTTTGCCCCCTCCTCTGGGCCCCGGACTCGTTCTGCAGCCTTTCTACTGCTTTTCCTTGGCTCCTTCTTACTGCTGTCTTTCAGCCTCACCCCTGATCTATTGTAGGTAAGATCTATACCTAAACTTCTCGGACAAGGGCGAAAAATCTAGGAGGTATCGTGTGCAAGTTACACACGCTAAAGATCCCTTGGTGGTCCAAAATGATAAGAGTAGGCTTCGGCCGCCACCAGGGCAAAATTCAAAATTACTTACCAACTGAAAATGTTCGGTATGTCCCGCGCGCTCAAATGACCTTATGCAGTTGCGAGCGCCGTAAAACACTTACCATAAAAAAAAGAAATTAAAAAATACACTGATTTTATTTTTGGCCTCTCCGACGTCTCTGTCAAGTGACTACCCGGGCGAGCCAACGCTACCGGGTTCTTTGGTGTAGCGGTTAGATGTTCCCCTGGTGCACGCTGAAGACATGTGGGTTCAAGTTTTAGTAAGAGTTTTACGGCACTTGAAATACGATAAGGTTATATAAGTTCCGAAGAATAGATGTGTTACAAGAGAGTAACATACAAAAAAAAAGAAGGAGGGATAAAAATGACTGATGATAGGAAAGAGAGAGCAAACCACAGTAGAGCACCCGCCAACCACCTACTGTGTGAGTTCGATTCCCGTGTTGGGCAAATGATATTCGGAGACGTCTCCGGCGATCACCCAGGAACTATTCGGAGACGTACTCCCGCACACAGATACACTGCTTGGCTGCTGGGACATTTCAGTAACCCACTTTCAGCACTTTTTAAGGACCCCCGGGCGAGTGTTGAGTTCCTGCGTGCTGTCGGCATCGCTGACCGTTTATGAAGCCACAGCGCCAGAAGAGAGAGAGAGAGAGAGAGATACACTGCTTAGGGGGTCAAACTGCATATTGTTTGCTGCAGATCAAACATAAAGCCACTAAAAATGTCGCAAATGAACTTTTCTTTTCAAGAA